CAGTTCCTCTTGAGGTGGCCTGGCTTTTAACAGTGGTAGCAGATGAATGCAGTTGTCGAGTTCTTCTTGGAGCCCTGGGAATCAGACCTGGGATCTGTTTCTCTTAGTGGTGCAGCAAAAGCAGCTGCTTTTTCTCAGTCTCTTTGTTTTCTCTCCTTGGCCTCCTCCTCATCATGAGACATGCCAAATTTTATTAGCAAGATTAATTTATGTATCAGTTTATGGGTTGACTATGCTGTGAAGCTGGGAGCTTTTTTCCTGGTGTCTGGTGTGTGCAGCATCTGGTGATGATCAGTTTGCACACCCGAGTCACCACGCCATTCTGCCTCAGCATTTGCATGCAAAATAGAGTGAACTGCTGCTGTGAAAAGCAGTCACTCTGGGCGAAGCTCTGCCCTGTCCACACGGAGGAATTCACAGCAAGGTGAGGCACACCGTGCTCTCTCCTGTGGTGCCTTCCCCAGAGAGGCAGGGAATTCCAGAGAAATGACCAAAGATACTGCCTTTATACTTCATAGACACAGTGGTGAGTCTGTGGAGGAATGACATTAAAAATAAACATGTAGCCTAGACGGGGAAGTTCGAGGGATGTTGCTATGGGAGGTGGCTCCTAGAAGACAATATATATATTTTTTCTCTTATAAAAAAAAAGTAGCTCTAGAGCCTGCTTGCTCAGTTCACTGTGATTCCTGTCACCAGTCTCTAGTGATCAAGACTATTTTCCAGCCGTGGTACCGAAGCCAGCTAAGGCCTGGATACAGAGCTTCCTCTGGAACCAGCTGTTCTTGTCAAACAAATGGGAGGCTAGGCCTGGTGTATGTGTGGATGAGCCCCTGCCTGAGGTGAGAGATGATGGCCTGCGCAGTATCAGGCAGCCTCTTGGTGCCACGTGTCCTGTGTTCTCGGGAGAACTACGAAGTGAACGCTGTGGACCTCGGCTGTGCGCATTTGGCTTCCCTCGCCAAGAGCAGCAGCGCCTGGGAGATCCCATTTCGGCAGCAAGCCTGGCCAGACAGCGGAGACGTGCAGTCAACCCGAAGCATCAGCCAGTGAAGACCGAGTGCTTCCTGCTTGCACCTGATGGGGGATCGCTGTGGGAGGCTGGGTGGGAGCTTTTCCTGCACAAGCCCCTCTTTTGTTTTTTCTGACCATATGTTCACTTTTATTTTTTGGTTGACATTTTTAGTTTTTCTTTCAGCACTTTAAATATAACTGGTTCATTATACTTTAGTCTTCACTGTGTAAATTCACATTGGCCTCTAATAACTTGTGGACCCTGTGTAAAGGGTTCATTTGGTTATTTTACTACATAACAAAGGTAATTAGCAACAATTGCAAATATATTGATAAAAAGCTTTTAAAGGGCATCAGCCAGGCAAGGTGGCGCACGCCTGTAATCCCAGCACTTGGGAGGCTGAGGCAGGAGGATGGTTGTGAGTTCGACACCAGCCTGGGCTACAAGGTGAGATCAAGGCCAGCCTGAACTGCATAGCGAGACCCTGTCTCAAAAAAAAAAAAAAAAAAGCATCAGGCATATACTCACCTGACAAATGTACCCCACCATTTGTTGGTCATGATGTATATTCCAGTAGGCTGGAATATTTTAGATATAATATCTATGAATGTTTATATTATCCTTATAAGAGGATATATTTATCTGTATTTCCTTTGTCTGTAACACATGTAAATTAATAGTAAATACATTATATGATCCCTGTGAGAAATTATATGGTCCCTGTGAGAAATAACACTAAAATAATGTTAATAAAATATAATAAAGTACTTGGCTCTAAGTAATTTCTTATGAAATGAAATTAATGGAAGTTATTTTTATTATGTTCGTTTTACACATGACAGTTATGAACCTGTTGCATCTCATAGTCAAGTCCACCTTAACAGCCATACTTTTGATACTACTGCTGGACTCAGTAGACCAGGGGTCCTCAACATTTTTGGCACCCGTGATGGTTTCACAGAAAATAATTTTTTTTTCATAGAGCAGAGTCTGGTTTGGGGGGTGATTTAAGTGCATTATATTTATTGTGCACTTTTTTCTATTATCATTACATTGCAATAGATGATAAAATAATAAAACAACTTGCCATAATGCAGAATCAGCAGGAACCCTCGGCTTACTTTCCTGCAACTAGGTGGACCCGTTTGGGGATGATGGGATAGAATGACACCTGAAGTGTTTGCTCATGTCCAGTGTACACTGTCATCTCATTTTGGTGCTGTCACTACAGAGAGCACCGATTCACAAAGATAGGACGCTGGAAATGTAGGCAGGCCTTTTGGTGCTTTTGAGACCACCGTGGGATATCCTGCCTTGACATTAACTTAGAACTTATGAAACTTGAGGTTGTCTTAAGCAAACGTTTCAGGACTGTTCCGTCTGTGATCTCAAGCAGATGATTCTCTTCTAGTATGAAGAGAGTCAATTCACCGGGCTTGTTCACAGATGGGTTCTGGATCTACTCCTTTTCAGTTCTGGGATCTGTTGTGGTTGATTAATGTTCAAACTCTTAAAATCCGAGATGGTGATCAGACACCAGTAGGGAGAAAGAAGATACCGGCGGCTCCGTCTCGTTCAAACTCTCTACTGATGTTTGAAATGTGTCAAAACTCCGTGTTCACCATCACCCCCATAATTCCAGGCTGACTTTGAATGCAGTCATCTTATTTCCCAATTTGGACACAATCACTTTCCTTCCCTGAAGTGAGAGATTGAGTTCATCGAGCAAGTTTGTAGGGGAAGGACTGTGATTGCTAATGAGCCAATTACTGATGGTCGGCTTATGAACCCCAGCCGGGCTGAGTGCACGTGGTGCAGGGTGCAGGAGGCTCGCCCGAGGATGGTTGCCATCAGCTGAGAGGCAGGAATGGAAAGGGATGATGAATTACCCCTGTTGGTCTGAGCTACATTCTGGGTTCTAATGAAAGGCGATGGAGATGGATGATCCGGGCTGCTGCAGTCCCAGAGGCTGTGGGACCCCTGATCCCAGGCTTTTGCCTCTTCTGTTTTTCTTATTGTTTATCTTTTCTTATTCATCTGCAGGCTCCTCATTCTCGGGACGTGTCACTACAGATAATCCCAACACAAGTTAACATGTCATAG